GGCCACCAAGAACAATTAACAGAACCTGTGGAAAGAGCACAAGTAAGAGTTCTTGGCCACATAATCCTAATTAGGGCTGGGCTGATAACCACTTAGCTAAGCATTGCCTCTCAAGCTTTAATGACCTTATAAATCACTTGATAATTTTGGTCCCACTCTATGTTATGTCACTCTGCAAGTTTCAAAAGGGTTCGTAAATGGGTGTTTTAAACCAATCCCCTGTCAATGCTGATGTTGCTCTTCCTGGGCCATTATTAGCATTAGCTGGAGAAAGCAGGCACAGCACAGATTCCCTTAAACTCAGCTCTCTTGTCACAACACAAACACAACCAATCTCCATCCTCAAGCATCATATTCTTTGCTGGTCCTTTAAAGTTTACAGAAAAAAACAGAAGACAGTAATGTTTGAATAAGTCTGCATTTGGAAAACGACATGTACACATGTACTAGTGTAACGTTGATTAAGCAGGTGCTACATCCTCAAGTGTTACAGAGCGTTGTGCTGGGAAAAATACATTATTTGATTTAATCCTGATAACACCCTGGAGTTGGTACGAGGTGTTCAATAATTCTCAGGATAAAGAGCCCAGGATTTTTATTTCTTCTGTTTCTCTGTCATTTATTTTATTTTTAATGTATAAAACAAAAGCTAAATATAGACAGATTAGAGGGATACAGAAAAGCTTAATGTAGTTCAGAAAAAGTTTTATTTTTTATTTACTTTTTTGTGACTTATGCAGCAACTACTGAATCTGCAGTAACAGAAAACAAGTGGCTACATGGAATGTCTCAGCAAGTACTGGTTTTAATTAAAAAATTAAAAATTAAGGCCCTAAAATAAATACTTAATTTTTCCCATTTATCTGCTTCTGAGTTTCAGGGAATTAGGGGCACCAGCTCTAGAAAGGCTGCAGGACTCACCAGCCAAAACTAATTTCTTCTAATCAGTATCATCAGTTCGGTGAGGCAAGACCCACACTGGGGTCAGACCTAAATAAGGCCTCCAAAAAGAGGGAATCTTAACAGAACTGGGGGCAGGGAGTGAACCCTATGTAGAATTCTGCTCTCTACGCCACTAGGGTATTTCCAGTTCTGATTTTTTTAGGCTTACCTAAGAGAAACTTAAATCACAGAATTTGTGTAGCTAATTTTTTTTAGCCACTGCCATGACAATTTTCTAACATATACTAATAAGCAATTTAAACACATTCCTTAAGGTTCTCTAGGTAATGTTATCGCAGATAAGTTATGTATAATAGGAAGATAAAAAGGAATACAAATAATAACAACTCTTCTGTTCAAAAATATCCCTTCAGGTGATGGTATCAAAAGTCACAATATAAAGTGGCCAAAATAAAGGCCGAGTACTTTTGCACACATCTATAGACTGTACCAACCATATTATGCTTCATTTATCCAGTTGCCATTCTAGACTAACAGTTCCTGCATGGGAGGAACCCTGACTGCTCCAACTCTTTTCTCATGGCCATATAAAATAGAAACAATTAGTTTATCTATTTGAGTCACCAGGCCCTTTCCTTTTTTTTCACTCAAGTACCAGGAAACTTGAAAAACTCTCATCTGGGTACAAACCAAAGACATCTCTCATGTGAGGGGAGAACAAATGCAAAATGACTCATTTCTCTTACACTGAGACAGAAGCAGAATTAGCCACTCTTGTGAGCCTGACATCGTTCTGCTCTGGACAACCTCAAGAATCTCAAAGACACCTAGATGATGGTGAGAGGGTTCCCAGTAACCCTCGGCTGATGACTCAGCATGATCCTACGTAAAAAATGAAACTGCCCTGGTGGAGCTCCAGAATTTGGATCACCTTGTCCTGATGAGTTAGTTCTTGCATTATGAGGAAGACAAGAAGCCGGGCGCGGTGGCTCAAGCCTGTAATCCCAGCACTTTGGGAGGCCGAGGCGGGTGGATCACGAGGTCGAGAGATCGAGACCAACCATGGTCAACATGGTGAAACCCCGTCTCTACTAAAAATACAAAAAATTAGCTGGGCATGGTGGCGCGTGCCTGTAATCCCAGCTACTCCGGAGGCTGAGGCAGGAGAATTGCCTGAACCCAGGAGGCGGAGGTTGCGGTGAGCCGAGATCGCGCCATGGCACTCCAGCCTGGGTAACAAGAGCGAAACTCCGTCTCAAAAAAAAAGTACCATCCAATGATTTTTCAAAAAATTAATTACAGTATCAAAAATGTACAGTAAAGGATAAATAACTAATAATGTGAATCAGGGAGAAGAAATTGACATTTGAAAATGTCAGAATGTGTAAATTAAGTATTTTACTGCAAGTCAGAGTTAGGCTGGAGGAATTCGGAATGGGGAGCAGTCTTGCTTGGGGACACAGGTCAAACAATGCAGGGGAAAATCAGTCCCCTGTGGAGTGTGAAAATAATTAAGTGGCAGGCGATTAGACTGAGGTGGCTCCAGTCCCTAGATTTCTCTTTTTAGAAAGATCTAACTCGAATACACCGTTTTTTCTAAATTATTACACTGGGGGAAATAAAATTCGCGCTTAACCAACTGTAAGCTGCCAAGTACCCTCTGATTACGCAACAGGAAATCTGCACCCTGATCTTACAAATTAAGAAGCTATGTAACTGCACCTAACGTATTAATTGAAATTGGTTTTGTTCCTCGCACACCTCTTCGAACTCTTTCCTTCCAGCTCCTCCCATGGGCCACAAACGACAACTCATAGCCGGGGGCGCTATAATTTTTGAACGACACTTCTATTACATTTTAAAATATTTTTCCAGTGACTTCCATGAATTTTTAATAGAAAAAAAGGGCCCGGGAACCCCACGGACCGAAGCCCTTCCCACGGATGAACCCCGCAGCCCGCGTCAGGACTCTCCCCGGACGACCCTCCCGCGGTCCCCGCACAGCCGGGGAGACGCGGCCCTGCGGGTGCCGCGCTGCCCGGAGACGGCTCCAGGCCGGGGCCGAGTCGCCGCGCAGGGAGGAGGCAGGACGCCCGGTCCGGCCGCAGCCGCCATCTTACGTCCGAAGGGGGCCGCGGGCCGGGCCGCGCCGCGGAGAACTCGGGCCGCGGGTCCGGGAGCCGCCCGCGGGGAGGCCCGAGCCCCGCCGTCGCTTCCAGCCGGTTCCAGCCAGGCCCCCCCCCCTCTCTCGGGAGGCCGACCCGGCGGGCTCACCATGTCCGGGCTTCAGGCGGTCGCGGCGTCTCAGCCGCGCATCTCCCAGCACCTGCGGGTCACGGGGCCGCCGAGGCCGGGCCTCCGGGAGCAGCGGACACGGAGCACCGAGCAGAGGAGCGGGCGCGCCGGCGGCGGCCGCAGACAAAGGCCCCGCCAAATCCGGAAGCCAGCCCGCCCGCTCCGGCCGCCGGCCTGATTGGACGGTTCCCAGAACGGCGTCCCTGATTGGACGGCATTGAGGGCCCCGCCCCACCAGGCTCTGAGTGACGGCAGGCGTGCTCGGCGGCGGGGCTGAGCGGAGCTGGAGTGAGAGCTCGGCCCGCTCGGGCGGGGCTTCCTCCCTGCGCCCGGCCGGGCCCTCCCCAGGCTATGTTTGCATCTGACCTGTGTGTAAGGTTGAATGCTTTTATAAAGAATATACTATATGGCTATTCACATATGAAAATAATGCAATAAGGCCGGACGCGGTGGCTCAAGCCTGTAATCCCAGCACTTTGGGAGGCCGAGGCGAGTGGATCACGAGGTCGAGAGATCGAGACCATCCTGGTCAACATGGTGAAACCCCGTCTCTACTGAAAATACTAAAAATTAGCTGGGCATGGTGGCGCGTGCCTGTAATCCCAGCTAGTCAGGAGGCTGAGGCAGGAGAATTGCCTGAACCCAGGAGGCGGAGGTTGCGGTGAGCCGAGATCGCGCCATTGCACTCCAGCCTGGGTAACAAGAGCGAAACTCTGCCTCAAAAAAAAAGGAAAAGAAAAGAAAGAAAGGTAAATACGGAGTTAAAGATTTAGTTCCAAAAATATATCCACTTTATCAATAGTCACATATTGCTCACATATTAATATGGTAATATTTTGGATATATTGGGTTAATTCAATGGTTAGAATGAATTCCACCTGTTTCTTCTTTCTTGTTGAAGTTTGACTGCTAGAACATTTAGAACACGGTAGGGCACCGTGGCTCAAGCCTGTAATACTAGCACTTTGGGAGGCCCAGGCAAATGGATCGCCTGAGGTCAGAAGTTCAAGACCAGCCTGGCCAACACGGTGAAACCCCATCTCCACTAAAAACTAACTGGGCATGGTGATGAGCGCCTGTAATCCCAGCTACTCGGGAAAGAAATAAAGAAAATTTAGAATACACATGTGGCTCACATTTTATTTAGGAGGGCTGCTTCCTTTGGTTACCCAGGCTGGAGTGCAATGGCGCGATCTCGGCTCACCGCAACCTCCGCCTCCTGGGCTCAGGCAATTCTCCTGCCTCAGCCTCCTGAGTAGCTGGGATTACAGGCACGTGCCACCATGCCCAGCTAATTTTTGTACTTTTTTAGTAGAGACGGGGTTTCACCATGTTGACCAGGATGGTCTCGATCTCTCGACCTCGTGATCCACCCGCCTCGGCCTCCCAAAGTGCTGCACCGCGCCGGGCCGACTGCCTCCTTTTTAAACTCTCAGTCTGCCTGCTCAAAGGACTAGAATTCAGAAAGGTCATAAAATCTGACATTGTAAAATAGTTGTACATTTTCATGTGTGAATACCCACGTAACGTGTGATCATAAATGCACATGACGCTACACACAAGGCCAAATGCAAATACCCGCCGCAGTGGACCCGGCTCCCGCCCGGGAGGAAGCTCCGCCTGAGGAACCCGCCGCGGCGGGGATCCGCCTTCTTCCTGCCCAGCGGAGGAGCACGTCTTCCGTCACTCAGGCATGAGGGGGCGGGGCCGCCAACATGATCCAATCAGGATCGCTCGTCTGCGAGCCGTCCAATGAGGCCCGCGGGTGGAGCGGACGTGACGCTTCCGGGGCTCGGCGGGGCCTTTGCGTCCGGCTGCGTCCGGAGCTCGCGGTCCCCTCGCCGCTCCGTGGCCTCGGCTCTTGCAGGCTCGGCCTGTGTCCCTGTGAGCTGCGGGTACCGGGAGGCGTACGGCCGGGACGCCGGGACCCCTGGAAGGCCGGAAATGGTGAGAGCGCCGGCCCGACGCCCGGGTGGCTGGGAACGGTCCCAAGCGGCCGTGGCGGACGGGGCCCCGCAGTCGGCTCCCGAGTCGTCCTCGGCGCAGCTCGGCCCTCAGTCCTTTTCCGCCGTAAGATGGCGGCTGGGCTGACGGCCGGTACCCCGGGCGTCCTGTCTCCTCCTGCGCGGTGGCGGCGCCCAGCCCGGTGTCCTCCCTGCGCGGTGACCGCTCCCCGGCCCGGTGTCCTCCCTGCGCGGTGACCGCTCCCCGGCCCGGAGTCCTCCCTGCGCGGTGACCGCTCCCCGGCCCGGTGTCCTCCCTGCGCGGTGACCGCTCCCCGGCCCGGAGTCCTCCCTGCGCGGTGACCGCTCCCCGGCCGGGTGTCCTCCCTGCGCGGTGACCGCTCCCCGGCCCGGTGTCCTCCCTGCGCCGTGACCGCTCCCCGGCCCGGAGTCCTCCCTGCGCGGTGACCGCTCCCCGGCCCGGTGTCCTCCCTGCGCGGTGACCGCTCCCCGGCCCGGTGTCCTCCCTGCGCGGTGACCGCTCCCCGGCCCGGAGTCCTCCCTGCGCGGTGACCGCTCCCCGGCCCGGAGTCCTCCCTGCGCGGTGACCGCTCCCCGGCCCGGTGTCCTCCCTGCGCGGTGACCGCTCCCCGGCCCGGAGTCCTCCCTGCGCGGTGACCGAGCCCTGGCCGGGTGTCCTCCCTGCGCGGTGACCGCTCCCCGGCCCGGTGTCCTCCCTGCGCGGTGACCGCTCCCCGGCCCGATGTCCTCCCTGCGCGGTGACCGCTCCCCGGCCCGGTGTCCTCCCTGCGCGGTGACCGCTCCCCGGCCCGGAGTCCTCCCTGCGCGGTGACCGCTCCCCGGCCCGGTGTCCTCCCTGCGCGGTGACCGCTCCCCGGCCCGGTGTCCTCCCTGCGCGGTGACCGCTCCCCGGCCCAGAGTCCTCCCTGCGCGGTGACCGCTCCCCGGCCCGGTGTCCTCCCTGCGCGGTGACCGCTCCCCGGCCCGGAGTCCTCCCTGCGCGGTGACCGCTCCCCGGCCCGGTGTCCTCCCTGCGCGGTGACCGAGCCCTGGCCCGGTGTCCTCCCTGCGCGGTGACCGCTCCCCGGCCCGGTGTCCTCCCTGCGCGGTGACCGAGCCCTGGCCGGGTGTCCTCCCAGGGCAGCTCTGCATCGGCAGCGCCGCGTGTCTTTTCTATTTTGTCCCGCTACGGTCTTCAGGGGAGAATCCTGACTTAGGATGCGGGGTTGGTAAATGGGAAAAGCTTTAGTCTGTGGGGTTCCCAGTCCATCTTTTTTCTCTTAAAAATCTATGGAAGTCACTGCAAAAATATTAAAGAATTTAATCAAACAGTAATTCAAGAATTGTACAGTACCCAGCTGTGGTTTATAGTTTGTGTTTTATGGGGGGAGCTTGAAGAAAATATTTTTATAAGGTGCATGGTAAAGGAAAGCAAATTCAATAATTAGGTAGAGTTATGTAGTTTCTTAATTTGTACGATCAAGGTGGAAATTTTCTGGTTGATTCAGCCTAAAAGTAAAAACTTGGGAGTGGAGCCACCTCAGTCTAATTGCCTGCCATTTAATTATTTTCACATTCCACGGGGGACTGATTTTCCCCTGCAACTTTCACATGTGTCTCAAGCAGGGTCTCAAGACTAATCCCCATTCCGCATTGTTTTAGCCTATCTGGCTTGCAGTAAATGGCTAAATTTCTGGATTCTTCTGACATTCCCAAATGTCAGCTTCCCTTCCCTAATTCGCATTATCAGCTATTTGTCCTTTAGTGTACATTGTAGATACCATATTTTAATTAATCATTTGTGACAAATCATTGGGTGGCACTTAAAAATTATTTGCTGTTTGAAAGTATTTCCAGTGAGAAGAAAGCATATAATAATCCCCTGACACTATACTGTAAAAAAATTCTGTGCCTCTTTTCCTTTTATCATCCCTAGGCACAGAGATCTTATAAGAATGTTTTTGGGTCAAGGTTTCCCTTTGGAAACTTTATGTGATGTGTCCTCAGCCACCCCTTGTTTTTTTTTCCCTGGTCCTGGGTTTCAGTACTTTCTGGGGATAAATGAAGATACTCACTGTGGCTTCGTATGCTAGAATGTCTAATGAATGTCAGCTCCTGGGCTGGAATGGAACTCTGGGTATCTGGGAATGGGATACACAGGACAACCTGAGGTTGGAGGGGAGCCTCTCCCCGGAGCAGGTGGATGCCCCGGGGCTGAGGAATCTCCTGGTGTACTTTTCCTTTGGAAAGCTAACCCGTGGAGGCATTAAGATTGTGCTCACTCAGCCCAGCCTTCATTTTTCAGAGGCGCATTGCTAGTCACCCAATCAGACGCTGATATTGAGAGGAAAACACATAAATAATTTTGGCCCTCTGGATTCGCTAAGATTTGTTAAAGAAAAAATGGTATCCCAAAAGACAAAAATATCAAACCTGACCCCAGTGAGATGGTGCAAGAACTTGCAAAGTGAAATGCACCTGGGGCAGTCACTGAGGCATAAGGCAGTGTCTCCTGACAGGGTGGTCATTGAGCACTTAAGTGAACAGGATAGGGTGGGAGAATCAGGAGCCTGACTTGACACATGAGACAGACACATTTGCTTTCTAGTCAGCACCACCTCATCTTGAAAAGATTATTCACGTATTTTCCTTTCAGTTTTTTTAACTGTAACTTGCATTTTATTAGTAGGATTTTAAAAGTAGTAAAATATTTACAAAGGGCATAAAAGAGGTGAGCTTCAGAAAAAAAAAATATCTAATTATGTATTCCATTTGTTAAGAATTCTCATTTACCTCCTTTGTTGTTTTTTTTTTTTTTTCCCCCAGACTGAGTTTAGGAGTTTTCTCAGGTGTGTTTTTTATAGCTGGGTGATGTCCAACAGAATTCCAAGGCTTAGTTTTTAGAAACTAAGGGGAACAAATAGGAAAAAATATCTCCTCCATTTTGGCTGTAGAAAATGAATATATTTTCACAAGAAAATGTGGTAGATAATTGATGAGTTACACAGATTGATGAAAACATCAGTTCCTCTTTCTGCTGGGTACATTTGTTACAGTGAATACCTCTGTTCTGTATCCTATCATCTTGATTTCTGAGGTTAATGCTAAATTTTATGTGATGAAAATTGGTATCTCCTAGAAGTGTTCCCATATGACTGATTGTTGACTACACAAATTTTAAAGAAAATAATAATACATTTATTGTCTGAAAGGAATAAATACTTTTGCATTTCTTATTGAAGTGTGAAATGTAAGCACCTTAAAATTTCCTTCCCTTGGCTGGGCACAGTGGTTCATGCCTGTAATCCCAGCACTTTGGGAGGCCAAGGTGGGTGGATCACCTGAGGTCAGGAGTTCAAGACCAGCCTGGCTAACATGGTGAAACCCCGTCTCTACTAAAAAACTAGCCAGGCATGATGGCAGGCACCTGTAATCCTAGCTACTTAGGAGGCTGAGGCAGGACGCAGAATTGCTTGATCCTGGAGGCAGAGGTTGCTGAGAGCCGAGATTGCACCACTGTACTCCAGCCTGGGCAACAGAGCAAGACTCCATATAAAGAAAAAGTTCCTTCCCGTATATAAACACTGTGCTTAATTTTGCTGAATTTTTTTAAAGAGTTTCAAAACCTGCCGGGTGCGGTGGCTCACGCCTGTAATCCCAGCACTTTGGGAGGCCGAGGCGGGTGGATCACGAGGTCAAGAGATGGAGACCATCCTGGTCAACATGGTGAAACGCCGTCTCTACTAAAAATACAAAAAATTAGTTGGGCATGGTGGCGCATGCCTGTAGTCCCAGCTACTCCGGAGGCTGAGGCAGGAGAATTGCCTGAACCCGGGAGGCGGAGGTTGCGGTGAGCCAAGATCGCGCCATTGCACACTCCAGCCTGGGTAACAAGAGCGAGACTCCGTCTCAAGAAAAAAAAAAAAAGAAGTTTCAAAAAAGAAAGTGAGTAACTTTGACATGGATATTACAGCTTGTGCCCAGTGACTCCAAACTAAGGGTGATATTGAGCCAAAAAGGGAAGGGAGGTTATTAAAGGGCCAGTTAGTTCTTTGTAGGAAGCCTGCCCTGCTCACTCCAGCCATGGAAGAAGCCTTTATTTTGAGAAAAGATACAGAGCCCTAGACATCGGGGGACCCACAGGCAGATGCAGTTAACCTTAAGAGGGAAGGGGATTGGGAGAGTCTTTCTAAAGATGAAGTTATTGTTTTGAGGCAGTTTTTTGTTTTTGTTTTGTTTTGTTTTGTTTTGTTTTTTGAGACAGAGTTTCGCTCTTGTTACCCAGGCTGGAGTGCAATGGCGCGATCTCGGCTCACCGCAACCTCCGCCTCCCGGGTTCAGGCAATTCTCCTGCCTCAGCCTCCTGAGTAGGTGGGATTACAGGCATGCACCACCATGCCCAGCTGATTTTTTTTGTATTTTTAGTAGAGACGGGGTTTCACCATGTTGACCAGGATGGTCTCGATCTCTTGACCTCGTGATCCACCCGCCTCGGCCTCCCAAAGTGCTGGGATTACAGGCTTGAGCCACCATGCCCAGCCTTGTTTTTTTTGTTTTTTGTTTTTTTTTTTTTTTTTTTTTTTTACTTTTTATAAAAACAGATTTTTGTAAAAAAAAACTTTTGAATTTTGAAGTATTGCAACAGAAGGAAGTACCAACTGTAAGATCTTTAAGAACTGCAAAGTTTAGGCAGACAAAGCCTTTTTTTTTCCTTAGGGAGGAGCAGAGAAGGTTAGAAAAAAGGTCACTGGGGAATGGCAAATGGAGAGTGAAAAAATCAAATATTAGATTATAAAATGTTTTATCCTCAAATCATTAAGTTCTTAGGAGGGGCATAAAATGGGGTTGTATGTTGGCTCAGACCGAGGGTAGCTCAAAGTTTAGGACCCTGTGGGAAGGAGCTAAACTTAAGTGAAAATTGATTAAGAAGAATTTTATTTTGACCACTGAAGAAAAATTCAGCTAATTTTTTATATGAAAAAG